CATTTTTCTAAATAGTTTATTATTTTGCACAGTTTATTTTCTTTTTATTAAGTTTTCCTCTCAGTTTGTTTTAAATATAAATATGGGCTATTATAAATTTATATTAAAATACAAGATAAATTTGCTTATGTAACTAATAAATTATACAGTGTAAAAATTATAGCTAGAAAAAATTATGTTTCATATAAGATAATTATATTAAACTAGATGATAAATGTATAGGCTGCCTGCATGAGACCATTTTTAACAAAAAAATGAAATTTATTTTTAGAACAGTTTTAGGTTCATAGCAAAATTGGCCCAAAAGTACAGAGACATCCTGTATTCCTACTTACTGATGTCCTGCATAGCAGTGTGAAATTTATTACAGTCAGTGAGCCTCCATTGACACATAATTACCACTCAAAGCCCATAGTTTACTTTAGGGTTCAGTCTTGGTATTGGATATTCTGTAGGTTTTGAAGTCTATAATGATATGTGTCCATCATTATTTTCCCCCAAAGAATACTTTCACTGCCCTAAAAGTTCTCTGCTCTACCTAGTTATTTGTTCTTCACACCCAATACCTAGCAACTGTTGATTGCTTACTGTCTCCAGAATGTCAAGTTGAAATCACATAGTGTGTAACTTTTTCATATTGTCTTCTTTTATGTCATAATACACATTTAAGATTTCTCCTTGTTATTGCATAGCTTGATAGTTCATTTCTTTTTTAGTGCTTAAATAGTGTTCCAATGTCTAGATGCACCACAGTTTATCTGCTCCCCTACTGGAGGACATCTTGATTGTTTGCACATCTTGGCAGTTATGGTTAAAGCAGCTATAAATATCTCTGTGCAGGATTTTGTGTGGGCATGTTTTCAACTCTTTGGTGTAAATACCAAGGAGCACAAATGTAGGATCTCATGGTCAAAGGATCTTTCTTTTTTATGAGACTACAAACTGCCTTCCAAAGTGGCTGCACCATTTTACAATCCCACCAGCAATGAGTGACATTTCCTGTTGGCCCACACACTTCCTAGCATTTGATGCCTGCATTTTGGATTAGCTTGTTTATAGTAATATATCATTGTTAGAATTTGCCATGTCCTATGACATAGGATGTTGAATAGCTTTTCATTTGCTTGTTTGCCATCTGTGCATCTTTGGTGAGATGTTTAAATCTTTAGCCCATTTTTTTTGTTTGGTTGTTTATTTATTGTTAAGCTTTAAGGGTTCCCTGTATGTTTTGGATAATAGTACTTTATTAGAAATGTGTTTTGCAAATATTTTCCCATCTGTGGCTTATCTTCTCATTATTTTGTCATCTATGTATTTTAATAAGTTTCAGGTTTGTCAGCTTTCATGTCTAAATTCTGTGATTTTGCTTTAGGAAGCTACATTTCACTAATGTTTTCTGTTCATTCAGAGTTTTTTTCATTTAACTTTTGAGCTTATCTGAAATTTGTTTTATTTCCCAGTTCAAAATAAGATTCTATCTTGCTTTCTAATTATTTGAAGAGTGACATTCAAGTTATTTGAATGGTTCACTTTTTCCCCATTGACTTGAAATGACTGAGTTATTGTATAATTTGTAAAAATACTACACACTGACATCACAGTCCTTGGCTATTTTTCTTTTGTACTGGTCCAACTCTGTTAGGGAAGAGAAATTCTTCTGGGGCATCTATTACTATATTGTTTTAATGCAACATTATTTTTAATATAACATTGTAGTATGTTTTAATAACTGAAATTGGAAGGCTCCTCTTTATTCTTCCATTTTAATGTTTCTTACCTGTTTTTATAATTTCATTTTTCCAAGTATACTTAAGAATCATTATTACCTTTGGAGGATCTGGTATAGGTATTTGATTATGATTTTTGTAAGTCTGTATTTTGATAAAAAGGTTTTTTTTTGGAGGGACTGGGGTTTGAATTCAGGGGTTAAAACTTACTAGTCAGGGGTTCTAATACTTGACCTGTGTGCATGTGTGTATTATGTGTATGCTTGTGTGTATGTGTGTGGGGGCACATGCATCTCTGCATGTATGTAGGTTATGCATATGTGCATGCATGTACACACGTGTGCACAGTTATGCATTTGTGTATATGTGTGTGTATGTAAGTGTGTATGCACATATGTGTAAAGTGGGAATTTTGATTTTTTTATCAGTTTGTCTTGACTTTTGTTGATGCATTAGAATTTTCCAAGAAGAAAGCCAGATTATTCTCAGTAAATCTTAATTTTATTTCTAATTATCATACCTCATTTGTTTTCTATTACGTCCTTGAACATTCAGAATTATGTTAAACAGTAGACATAATTGGGGAATTCGTAAGTTGCCACCCCTTCCTGGGTTTGAACACCATAAGTGGGCATGGTCCCCTGCCTTTGCTGATTGCTGGGTGATACTGCATTTACAGCCCCATCCAACCCTGACCTAAAATAATTTATGTAAGAAAGTAAAGAAGTAGCAGTGGTGGTTTCTTTACCTTATGTCAAAAAAAGACAGTAAGTATTCATGGCACTTTAAAACGTCAAGTGCTGTCATATGTCATATATTGTACACGAGGGGTCATAATTAAAGTTTTAAAAGCCTTAGGTGATACCCAAAATCATCAGTTCCAATGTATGAATCAATTAATGCTTATTTGGACATTTGATGAACACAAAATTGTGAGTGCTTATATTTGGGTAAAAAATGTTGGTATGAATTCTGTTGTGTAAGTAAATCTCCTTTCTGTAAGGTTTTTTTTTTTTTTAAAAAACAATGTTTAACATTAGGGTGTGATTCAGTATACTATTCTAGAAGATCATAGTTGCTGCTCATTCTCTTAGCACCACAGTGAGGATGATGTTCACATTAAAGGGGTGTATCTTTCAGAATTAATTTTGCATCTGAACATACTCATGTATTGGTAGTATTTTTTTATGAAGACTTGTGGACATTACCCTTAGGAGGCATTTTATCACATGAGTATTTGTATTTCTGAATAGTAACTTTTAGAATTGATGTACAAAATCTATGTATTTTTTTAACCTTAGTCTAGTGTGATAGTGACTAGCCACATGTAACTAAACTAAATGAAATTTACTCTTCAGTTCCCATCATACCAGCCACGTTTCAACTGTATAATAGTTTACATGAGGAGGGAATACTCCGTATTCGACAAAAGGCATATCACATTTTAATCATCACAGCACGTTCTATTGCACAGTGCTATTCTAGAACATAAGCAGTTCATTCAAGCAGAAAGAACCTTTTGTGTAATTTATTTTGTAGCAATTATTGAAAATATTAGGAAAGGAAGAACGCAATAAGGAAGACAATGAAAGGATTTGTTTTCTTAGCATTATTTTTGTTTTATTTTTAGTTATTTATGATAAACTCATGGTTTTAACTATTACTGACAGTGTTTCCACTGTCTGCCCAGCTAGACCCAAAGCCCAATGGGGAGAGCAGCTTTTTACCATTGCTCCATTAAGCGGTGCATCTTCTTGGAAATGCAGGTGGTGACAGCAGAGGGCAATAACTGTTGGAATAGCTGTTTTTACATAAATCTCATCCCTGGAATTCATAACATGTCCATGTAAAATCCCTAAGTTTTTCTTTCTCAGAATCAACAAAGGCAACAACAAGAAGACATGTTGGCAAGAGAATATAGTAGAATAAAAGCCAGAAAAGTTTTATTTCCGTGATTGGGTACTTACTTCTTTCCCTTATTGACCTTATAGTTGTAAACGTTGCTATAGAAACAATGTCTTCTTCAGGTCTATTTTTAAAGCCTTTCTAATAATTTAAGCAACATTTAACATTATATGTTTATTTGTGCATTACTATTATATCTTCTGGGAATGGGAGAAGAAAATGCATCTGGAAATATTATTTTATAGTTCATTCTTGATATTAGAAAAATCCATCATTTTCTTTCTATTGATTTACTTTTTAGGTTGCTTGCAGTGTTTGAGTGTTGAGAAGGTATATTTAGATGGTGGAAATTTGCATGAAGGGTAGGGTTAATATGATAATGAGTAAAAGTCAATGTCCATTTGATGATGTATGCATAAATACATTCTGAGTTGTTCAGTTTGCATGTACAGTTGCTTAGAACTTTTCTCTACTTAGTCTAAATATTCACTATATTGAGTAGGTTAGGGGGTGTGTGCACTTTGATCCCTATGAATAGTATGTGTATTTGTAACAAATAATAGATGATGACTTTACACATAATCCATTAATGTGAAAGGCTAAGAAAAATGTTAGCCTCCTCCTGTACAGCCAGCATCTGACTTGTCATTGACATTTGAGTTAAATGAGGAACAGAAGTGTGGTCTGGAACATAGTCTTACATCAGTCCCTTCTCAATATGAAGTGCAGCCCTCTTGACATTTTCAGGTAAAGGGTTCTCTCATGGATAATGTCCTGAAATACATCAGCAAGTTGATGTATACTACATAAATTCAGACTGCCAGGATACATATGGTATTTAGAAAAGAGGAAATACATACTAAAGACCATTTTTCCTATGATAAAGTCTTTTCCACAGAATTGCTGAATTACTACTTAAAATAATTGTTTGCTAATGTGTGCTGGTATTTTTTGCATGATTTGGTCATAATGGGAAATGTAACTACTAAAATAAAATGACTTAAATAAGAGACATGCATATGCTGATATACCTGAAATCATAAATGTCAGCTCTTCTTCCTGGAATTGGCATTGGTGTTCACTTAGAGATAGACAGCCATTTCATACTATGAAATAGATACTTGTCATTTAACCTTATAGAATTTTCACTTCACATTTAAAAAAAAATTGAATTACTTGAGGTAATCCTCTGCTCTTAGGCTGATCCACTTCACAATTTGTCTTCAAAACTGAAGGGTTCACGAAGACAAATACGATAATGTCTAAAAGAATTGGATCCATGGATGTTTTAGACAATCAAAGCCCTGTGATTGTTTTGAACGGTCGACCTTGTATTTTGCTTAAGTTGTTTTCTGATTGTCATTGCAGCTATGAAGTCTTACACACCGTACTTCATGCTCCTGTGGAGTGCGGTTGGGATAGCAAGAGCTGCCAAAATCATCATCGTGCCTCCAATTATGTTTGAAAGCCATATGTACATTTTCAAGACACTAGCCTCGGCCTTGCATGAGAGAGGCCACCACACAGTGTTCCTCCTCTCGGAAGGCAGAGACATCGCCCCGTCTAATCACTACAGCCTCCAGCGCTACCCAGGGATCTTCAACAGTACCACCTCGGATGCATTCCTGCAGTCCAAAATGCGGAATATTTTCTCTGGAAGATTGACAGCTGTCGAGCTCTTTGACATATTGGATCACTATACTAAGAACTGTGACATGATGGTTGGCAACCGAGCATTAATCCAGGGTCTGAAAAGAGAAAAGTTTGATCTGCTGCTGGTGGACCCAAATGATATGTGTGGATTTGTGATAGCTCATCTTTTAGGGGTTAAATATGCTGTATTTTCCACTGGCCTTTGGTATCCTGCTGAAGTGGGTGCTCCTGCTCCTTTAGCTTACGTTCCAGAGTTTAACTCACTCCTCACAGACCGTATGAACTTGCTGCAGAGGATGAAAAATACCGGCGTTTACCTCATTTCCAGATTAGGGGTCAGCTTTCTGGTTCTTCCCAAATACGAAAGGATAATGCAGAAGTACAGTCTGCGACCAGAGAAGTCCATGTACGATTTGGTTCACGGGTCCAGCCTGTGGATGCTGTGTACCGACGTAGCACTGGAGTTTCCCAGGCCCACCCTGCCCAATGTTGTCTACATAGGAGGGATCCTCACCAAGCCAGCCAGCCCACTACCAGAAGTAAGGTTTGCTGAACTCCTTGGTAATTTGTTTTTTAAATATAAAAAAGTCAGTTTTGATTTCTGAAAGAGATAGAATTGATAGTGTTTCATAACCAAGGCTACTCTTAAAAAGCAATTAGGACACAGAGCCCATTAAAGCTCCTTTTATTTGTGGATCCGCTGCTCTTCTGGAATAATCCTGCTTTGAAGAGTATTTCAGCAATACCAAGATGCACTCTGCCAGATGACTGGGAAATAGAATCTCAATTAAGTAATAACTGTAGAATGTGAGTAGAATATGGTGAGATGGCTAGTCTTAATGAGTATACTTGATTTTGCTTTTAAGCACAGTCCTCTCTGTTCTCCTCAAACAACACAATCACAGGTCTTTATCGTTAGTAAACTCAAACTGAGTGAAAAAAACTTCTGTCTTGGGAATTATAACCACTAGAAAGTTTATGTTCTACAGTGGAAATGAAGTAGTAACATCCATCAAAGTAGTTAGTCAACTGATTTAATTAGCAAGAAAATAGAACTGCTTCAAGGAAATCATGCCTTTATACAATTTCATTTCTAAGACAGAATTAATGGTAGCTCAGGAAAATCTCTTCTCTGTCCAACTTAAACTCGTTCTGCTGGTTGAGCCATGGGCAAAATGCCTGGTATTCTGTTCTCCATCCTACTTTTTAAATTAGGTATCTTAGACTAGCAGGAGCCAAGCACAAAATGTTTAATGCCATTTACCAAGAAACTTAGGTATTTTTCCAGAAGATTCTTTATTAAAACTATTTTCTGAAAATTCTTACCATCACAACAACTCTACTAAATTGTTAGTTTCTACTCTGGGGCCTACATATAAACAGATCTTTCAGGACCTTGAAGAAGAATAAGTCCAGATTTTCTCCTGTAGGTGTCAGATTTTCTCATGGGCAGAATTTTCTTATGGGGTACTATGCGATTGGAATATGTGACCTGTAGACTTTTGGTACAACCATTAGAGTTAAGCTTATGAAGAAATACTGTGAGCTGGGTGTGTGACTCAGTGATAGAGCACTTACCTAGCATGCCTGAGGCAGTGGGTTCCCTTAGCAACACACACACACACACACACACACACACAGAGAGAGAGAGAGAGAGAGAGAGAGAGAGAGAGAGAGAGAGAGAGAGAGAGGAGAGAGAGCGAGAGAAAGAGATTCCTTGATATATTTCATGTAGCATGGAAACAGAAATGGCCAGATCCATGTCCCCTACAGTGCTAACACTTGAAATTGATGCAGCCACCAAAGGCACCAAGGGCATGTTGTTCTCTGTGACAATTATAAAGGATAGGAATTAACCCTGGCTCATCTTAACCACTCACGAATCTATACAGGTCCAATTTAAATCCTTCAGTATTCTCTGACAGTGTCACCTTGTGATGTATTGCTCTCCTTCCTCAAGGTAGACAAAATCAGATTTTAGAAACAGCTTCTAAAAGGTTTGGTAAGCTAGCCTGTCTTTACCCTAACAGTCATTGAAATGTCACACAGATCACCTTTGTTCTCTCCAAGTCTTCATCGTTTCCCGTGACAGTAGTGACCCCTGCCAGCTTCTTTCCAGTTGTGGTTGGATGCTATTTTCTTCTTCACTCACCTGGATGAGGGCAGAATCAATAGAAAAAGGGATGTTCTGATTTCCCTCGCCAATTCTTCTACTTCCTTCTTTTGAGTTGGAGCAACTTAAATGATAAAAGTGTAGAATAATACTTTTTTAATATTCATTTTTTAGGCTTTGCTGTTCATTAAGATGCATAGCATGTGAGAATTTGTTCCCTGCAAACCACACATTTCTCCCTTGTGTCCCTCCTCGCATTGACAGTCCAATTAGTTTCACCATCTTATTTCTCTTTGAAAACATCTTTGAGTAGTTTTTGGAGCCTCACATAGATATTACTCAAAATGTTTGACCTGCCGTAATTTCTTGCTTGACTCTGGCTTGACCTACTTTGTGGGCTTCTCTATTCTTTTTTCTCTGGGCTTCCTGTTACTCCAGAAAGCATTTTTTTCAACTTTTGTTAAAAGTGTGGTTGTTATTTGCAACAAATGCTTTGTGTCTCTTTGGTCCACACGTACAGACATATACATATGGCAGGAGGATAGTGCATGTGTTATATCTAAGATGAGAACATAGAGATGTCTATTATTAGCATTGAAAATTTGGACTCTAAGTGTGATGGGTTATTTTCATTTCAGTGTACCATCCGCAGTTCTTGAGTAGAGAATATTTTAAGGAATGATAATGTCTTAACTCTTCTTATGTGGAGGTTTTATATGTTTAGGTATGAACACATTGTGTTCCTACTGAGATTTTCTAGTAAATTTATGAGGTAATAAACTATATCTTAGGATTCTAAAAGTTCATGAAAAAGTTTCTCAAATGCCTGCTATTTACAGGGCATGGTTGTGACACTAAAATAAGAGAGCCTAGCAAGTAGCTGCTGAGAGCACACTATTCACTAATAATACCCTAATTGTTACTTGCATGGTATCTTACACAGGGAATGGATTAAGTTTTCTAGATGTCTGGAAGTGATTTGAAAGTGGGATTTGAATTTCCCAATGGGTTGAAAGGGTAGAAAATTTTTCTAAAAGATATTTTTTAGCAGCTTTCATAATGTCTAAGATTAAAGAAATTAGAATGTCTGGATTTGCTTCATTCAATTTTCCTGCTCTCAAAATGCATAGAATAGACAAGAGAATGGAACATTTGTTTGTCACATAGTGGATATGAAGACTTGGGTGGCTTGTTCAAGGCCAAACAGTTTGTAGCAACCCAGGTATAATACAGATTGTTTTGCTGTTGATTAAGTACATCAGGATGCCTGAACCTCTTGTCACTCATGATGGTCATGTGCACAATATAATTGTGTACAAGACCATGCAGAGACAGAAATTTCTCTGATCTTATTTAATTGATACTAAAGATTGTGCAAACTTAGTATGAGAGTCAGATGAAACCATTTTGACTCTTACTTATGCTTTAGAGATTTGATGATGGAATTCAACCCAAATCTAAATGCCTTTGGCTGCAAAGTCTTGTGCTGGTATAAGTGAAGATATTGTGTACTTTGAAAATCCAAGTCATTTTAAGATGCAAATTAGAAATGTGCCTGGAAGAACCACCTCTCATACTGTCAGCTACCTGGGTCCTTTCAGTTGGATCCTAAAAGATGTGGTTTAAGGGGAGGAGGTCTCAGTTGGATCACATCTACCAAGTGGTTTATCTACTTTGTCACTGCAAATCCGTAAGGAATGTAGATACAAATATTTTAAAAAATGGTTTGGTTTTGCCAAGAAGGTCACAGATCACTATTTGAATAGGCCCTTTAAATATTCAATGTGAATGAAATAATGACACCTAATGTGGAATTGTTTTCATAGCTTTTCATAGCTTTATTAGAGTGTAATAGTAATACCACCAAAGAAATAAATGATAAGGAGTCTATCAGTTATTAAAATCAAAATGTTTCACATGATAATTTTTAGATTTTCTGTTGGCTGAAGACCTTGGCCCTACCAGTTGGTTCATCTCTGACACTTCTACAGCACTGAATTCTAGTAGCACCTAACAGATTGTATCTTTACTATTGGCTGTCCTCACAGCACTCTTCCTAACTAGGATATGGGTGCCTCCAAGCATGGAGACCCTACTTACTCACTTTTATAGTGAGTGCCTGGAAAGTGGTAGGTCCTTAATAAATGTTTAATATTAAGTGAACTATTTCTATATTAATAAAAGTAGTTGCCAGAAATGTAGTGATTCAGCTAGTAACACAGTGTTAATATATAACCATTATCTGTTTTTTTCTAAGTTTATACCCACATATCATCCTGGCCATAAAACAACTAAAAATTCCAGGCTAAGCTTTTTTATGTAATGAACTAGAATAGTCATTCTAGTTATCAAATGTTATTAATATTGAGAAAGGGAGATAACCATACATTACCCAATAGACGAACTAAAATGCTTCTCTGTTCCAAATGTGCACATGTACAAGGAGAGTAGTGCAAGACAGACTAGCTGTTGCTATTGAAAGACAACTTTGAATACTTCATTGTCAGGTATGGATTTGGTTCACCAGTTCTGAAGATATTATTAAGGAAACATGGGAAGAAATATAAATAAGCGATAGGAGATAAGAAAGAGCACGGGACCAAGGATAGGGTCAGGACTTATCCACTGTTTTTTATTTGCCAGAATTGCCTCACAGAGATAAGTCTTGGGGGAAATAAGGGAATGAGTAACAGACTCAAGAGATTAGCCACTTATAAGAAGGTTAGGTTATAAGAAGAATGAAACCAAGAAACAAAACAGTAGCTTCCATGTTCAGTACTCATTGATTCAGATAGAAGCCATTAGTTAACTTTTACATTGGTGATTGAAAGCTGATCTCAACACTTATGAATGAAGGGTCTAGGTTGAGATATAGGACAAGAGCCCTTGGAGCTAAAATACTGATTCAGCATTGGTGCAGATGTGAAAAATTAAGGCCATTTTAATAATATGTTATATTTCTAACAAATTATCTTATGAAATTTAAAGATGAAGATGGGATTATAATCATTATACCATATTGATTAACAGTTTATAAATAATTATTTAATCAAAATGTATATAGTTGGGTTCTTATTTTAGAACCCAAGTTTACAAGTAGCTTTTATATAATGTCTTCATCTATATAGCAACACTATTTGGGGGATCAGAAAATTGAGGACTGTTATAGAGACTGCTAATTTAATTCCATTTACTAATTCTGAATTCAGCTGTTCACATCATGATAGTTGGGAAAAAGTGATACACACCTTATGAGAACTCATTAACTTAAAATGTTCTCTCAAATATTTTTGGCAGTAGTTTTGTAGATTGATCATACATTTTTATCCTTATTTTGTAGTAAGAAGCCAGATTACCTGCTAATAAGTTATCTATCCAGGAAGTAAACCACGAACTGTTAGAGCTATATAACTTCTAGTTCAGTTC